AGATTTACATGCAAAACAATCGGAATGAATCGAAGCACTCCCTCCACCAATCAGAGTATATTTATCCTTCTCTCAACTCCGCCTGTAGTTCGCGCGTCTTCTCAGATACCAACGTCTTTCTTATGCGTTTCTATGGCAACCTACTGTTGTCCCCTTCAGAAATGGAAAGCTTCCAGTATTCTAGGAAGCAGGATAAGGTGTACGATGGTCCTTTATTCTTTTTCTTTTATTTTTTCAATATTTCAGTCACCACTGAATGATGGTCCTTTAAACAGGGTAAAGTTGGACTTAAACCCTGAAGTCACTCGGTCCTGATACGTTTCTACCCTATTTTCCCCCGCCAGAGCGCTCCACCCGGTGTCTCTAAGGATGAAGCGGGTGGAGATGGGAAGACAAGTGAAGTCGCCGCACAGCCCCTGGGAAATATAGTCCTGGCACTGCGCGGAGGATCATGGATGGAGTAGCTCTGGGGAGTAATCGCGCAACACCGGGAAGTTGCTGTGAGGAGCGCGGTGGAGGGAGTTGGCTCTCTAGCTACTCGCGAGTGGTCGCGGTCTGTTAGCTCGGCCGACGACGTCTCGAGGTAGGAAGACGCTGGAGCTGGGATCGCTGAGGACCCTGGAGGCTTTCGGCTCGGTTCTTCTTTGGAGGGTGACAACACTATGCGGCGACTTGGCAAAAGGCGCGTATCATTGAGCGGCGTTGTCTCAGCGGAGCTTGTACCTTCGTTCACAGCCGTGGTAGAAAAAGTAAAGTGGTTCTCCAGTCCTCAGGCCGCCCTGAGAGTAGAGATTCTGCTCTTATTTTATTATTGGTTGAGGAACTGATGCTAAAGAGGGGGATGAGTTGTCCGAAGTGGGCAGATCGGGATGATGAATGGGAATTCTTCAGGAGACCCGAAGATTTAACATTTACTATATTTAAACGCTTTCTGTGTGCCAGCCGTCGAGCTGCACGCCTTCTTTTCTCTTCTAACCTCCACAACGACATTGAGACATGAGTGCACATCCTCGGTCTTATCATCGGATACCCTTGGCACCAGGATCATGTTGGGGATCAGATTTTTCAGATTTTAGAACATTAATGGGCTGCATGTTTCGTAATTAGGCAGCACCTTAGAGAATCTGGCCAATTTTTAATTTTATTAATTTTTTAGAGACACAGCGGCTTTCGTCTTTATCAGGTGGTTCTGAACTCCTAAGTTCAAGCGATCCTCCCTTCGCCTCCCAGGAGTGCTGGATATACAGGCGTGAGCCTTGCGCCCGCCCTGTGGGCCAATTTTTGATCATCAAAGTTTCTGTGGGGCAAGGTTGAATATTCACACTGACAGGATAGAAACTACACATGGCCTATGACAATGCAGGTTAAGTGTTGTTGGCAATTTGATAAAGTTCCCGTTTTTTCTGAACTTTTGTTTTTGGAATTGTAGCTAGGGACTGTGGACTGTTGCATTTGCCCCATTCTGTATGTGTGGAATCTGAGGCTCAGAGAGTAAATGATCTGGCCATAGCCCACACTAAGAAGTAGCAAGACTCCCAGTCCAGGCCCAAATTTTTGCCCCATAATTGTTTGCGTTAGTCACTGACAAGCTGGATGACTTTGGACTTCCCTCAGGGCCCCTGTTTCTTCCATCCCAAGTCTGAGAGGAGATATGGATGGAAACAGAATGTGAGTTGGAAACTGTAGACCAGGGGTCCCAAACTATGGGCCGGCCTAATATTTATCCGGCCCTCCAGGTGTTTTGCTTCCGCTGCCTTCCTGCTTAGCAGCTAACTCGTCCGGGCCACAGTGGGGCACATCCAACGGTCTGAGGGACAGTGAATGGCCCCCTGTTTAAAAAGTTTGATGACTCCTGCATAG